TCCTGTTAATGGTGGTATTTTGACCTCCTCCCATGAATCATGAATGTTCTTAATGGTATCTAGAAAGGTGAATCCTTTCCAGAAGGGTTTCAATTTACTTTACCCAGATCCATCAGAGGAATCACCATCTATAGACTTACAAAATGTATCTCTTAATTAGTAAGACTTGAAAGTTGAAATTACTCCTTGATCCATGGGCTGCAGAATGGATGGTGTGTCAGCAGGCATGATAACAGCATTAGTCTCCTTGTGGGTCTTCATCAGAGTTCTTGGGTGACTAGGTGCATCGTCAATGAGCGGTAATATTTTGAAAGGAATCTTTTAGTCTGAGCAGTAGGTCTCAACAGTGAGCTTAACATATTCAGTAAACCATGTTGTAAACAGATGTGCTGTTATCCAGGCTTTGTTGTTCCATTTATAGAGCACAGGCAGAGTAAATTTAGCATAATTCTTATGGGCCCTAGGATTTTTGGAATGGTGAATGAGCATTGGTTTTACAAGCTACATTAGCCCCTAACAAGAGAGTCAGCCTGTCCTTTGAAGCTTTGAAGGCAGGCATTGACTTCTCTCTGGCTATGAAAAACCTAGATGGCTTCTTCTTCCAATATAAGGCTGTTTCGTCTACACTGAAAATCTGTTGTTTAGTGTACCCACCTTCATCAGTTATCTTAGTGAGATCTTCTGTATAACTTGCTGCAGCCTCTACATCAACACTTGCTACTTCACCTTGCACATTTATGTAATGGAGACAGCTTCTTTCCTTAAACCTCATGAACCAGCCTCTGTTAGCTTCCTCACCTCTCTCAGCCTTCATAGAATTGAAGAGAGTTAAGGTCTTGCTCTGGATTAGGTATTGGTTTAGGGGAATGTTGTGGCTGGTTTGATCTTCTACCCAGACCATTAAAACTTTCTCCATATCAGCAATAAGGCTGTTTCACTTTCTTATCATTTGTGTGTTCACCGGAGTAGCATTTTTAATTTCCTTCAAGAACTTTTCTTCTGCATTCACAACTTGGCTTAATGTTTGTTGCAAGAGGCCTATCTTTTGGCCTATCTTGGCTTTCAACGTGCCTTCATCACTAAGCTTAATCATTTCAAACTTTTGATTTAAAAAGACATGCAACTCTTCCTTTCACTTGGACACTTAGAGGCTATTGTAGGGTTATTAACCAGCTTAATTTCAATATTGTTGTGTCTCAGGGAATAGAGAGGCCCGAGGAGAGGGAGAGCGACTGGAGAATGACAATCGGTGGAGCAATCAAAACACACACAACATTTATCGATTAAGTTCATTGTTTTACATGGGCATGATTCATGGGGCCCTGAAACAATTGCAATAGTAACATTAAAGATCACAGATCACCATAACAGATAAAATAATAATAAACACTTTGAAATATTGCAAGAATTACCTAAATGTAACACAGAGACACAAAGTGAGCACATGAAGTTGGAAAAATGGCTCCAATAGACTTGCTTGATGCAGGATTGACACAAATCCTCAATTTGTAGGAAAAAAAAAAGCGATATCTGCGAATTGCAATAAAATTAGGTATGCCTGTATTTTCCATTACCTCATATGCATGCGAAAGCTGGACAATGAATAAGGAAGACCACAGAAGAATTGATGCCTTTGAATTACAGTGCTGGTGAAGGATATATGACTGCCAGAAAAATGAACTAATCTGTCTTGGAAGAAGTACAACCAGAATGCTCCATAGAAGTGAGGATGGCAAGATTTGTTATCATGTACTTTGGACATGTTATCAGGAGGGAACAGTCCCTGGAGAAGGACATCATGCTTGGTAAAGTAGAGGGTCAGTGAAAGAGAGGAAGATCCTCAATGTGATGGATTGACACAGTGGCTCAATGATGGCCTCAAGCATAGCAATGATTGTGAGGATGGCGCAGGACTAGGCAGTGTTTCGTTCTGTTGTACACAGCAATGCTATCAGTTGGAACTGACTCAATGGCACCTAACAACAACAGCTACTACTTTCATATTTAAAATTATAATCTTTTTTTAAAAAATCAATATTTTATTTTAAGAGATTTGAGTTCTAGGCCCATAATTTTGTAAACTAATGAATTAAATCAAAGCAGCAGAATGAAACTTCTAGATGCTTAAAAATTATAATTAGCTTCTACCAGAGAGTACAAGAAATCCCGAAATCTTCTTTCCACGCCAACCAAGCTCTGCCCCTCCCACGAACTAGACAGAATGTGTATTGGGCATGAACTGACATATTTCACTTGCTAGCACTGAACCATTTTGCTTTGATTAGAATCCAACATAAATATTTACTTTATATTCGCAAAATAATGAGAAATAAAACTACACTCTGGAAATTAAAATGCATACTCTTGAATAGAGATTGGGAGGATTATAGAACATGATTGGGAGTACAATCACTGAATTAAAAAATACAGAGCAAGTCTGTGGAATTACAACCTCAAATACTAGTTTCTAACTAAAACTATGGGTAGGGGGGAAGTCATAGTCAAAGCATTTCCATATATTCCTAACTTTAGGGTAGGTTCCTAATCTATTGCGCTTATTATATAGGAAAAACAGGCACACAAAAATTTTTTTTGTAGAGGATACAGTGGAGATACACTTTAAATTCCGAATTATTTTTTAAGGAAGACTAGAGGATAATATAATACTCCTTAATACCAAAAACAAACAAACAAAAAACCTGTTACCATCGAGTTAGTTCTGACTCTTGGCCACCACTTGTGTTACAGAGTAGAACTACTCCATAGGATTTTCTTGGCTGTAATCTTTAGGAATCAGTTTGTTGGGTCTTTCTTCTGCAGAGCTGCTGGGTAGGTTCAAACTGTCAACCTTTAGGTTAGCAGCCAATCACAAACTGCTTGTGCCATCCAGGGACCTTAACACTCCTTAATAACAGTGGCAAATAAAGAAGAGCTCCTGAATGTTTTGCTCTTAAAAGCCCTTATAACAGATTGCTTTCTCCTGAGCCATGCCTACTCAGGCAAAGTTCAGCGGAGAACAACAAGAATTATCCAGGTGATTTGCGGAAAATACTACTTTGAACTGAAATATCTATACATTTGAGGCAAATGGGGTTATTTCTCACGGAGTTATCAAAATAGTCTTCTCAGGTCTCTACCTCTCCACTTCACTGACAGGGACTGTTTGCACATGGAAGACTGGGAGTGGACCATGACTGAGCTTTATGGTGATTGCTATTCATCATCAAGCCTGAGGTCATGGTCCACGTGGGCCCTTTTGGCCCATCAGTACAGTTGAATACCCACTCGTGGATGATGCCGTGGCCTGATTTTATGTGAAAGCACGTTAGGATTTTCCCTGTTATTCTCTGCTGGTGTTTGACAAATCACAAAAGCATGATTTACTTTGGTAGCAAAACACCTTGCTTCTGCATAATAAAAAAAAAATCTTGTTTTTCAGTGGGATTTTTCTTCCTGAGCCTGAGATGGACACTATGTAGGAGCAGGAGTATAGCATATTTATGACCACCAGAAAATTTGAAGGCTCATGGTTGATGATTATCATATTAGTTTTGTTCAGAGTTTTTGCCTTGAAACCCTGTATTCAGATATTTTACCCTGTATGACTTCTCTTGGTGTTGCTTTACCATTCAGATTAAATGGAAGACAACTATTCTTGAATATTATAAAATGGCCTTTTTGATAGTATTGGTAAGCTGGAAATCTGTAAGAATTATAAGATATTCAGTGAGTGCTTGTGGCTTCGATTAGGAGGTTCCAGAGAAACTCACTTCTCCCCATCAGAATTATTTCACAGCCTGGACAATAAGGTAAAACTTACACCCTATACCTTTACTTTAAAACATGAAACTTATAACCTTCAGAGCCACCACGTGAGTTGTACTGTCAGTTTGTTGTACTGTGGTGGCTTGAGTGTTGCTACGATGCTGGAAGCTATGTCACCAGTATTTCAAATACCAGTAGGGTCATTTATGGTGAACAGTTTTCAGCAGAGCTTCTAGCTAGGAAAAGAGGCCGGCTGATCTACTTCTGAAAATTAGCCAGTGAAAACCTTATGGATCACAACAGAATACTGTCTGACTTGCTTGCTTTGGCTATGTCATCAGAAGGGATCAATTGCTGAAGGAAGACATCACGTTTGATGAACTAGAAGGCCAGCAAGAGGGAGGGAGACCCTCGGTAAGATGGATTGGCACAATGGCTGCAATGATGGATTCAACATGTCAGTGATCATGAGGATGACGCAGGACTGGGCAAAGTTTTGTTCTGCTGTACATAAGGTCGCCATGAGTTGGAGCTGACTTGATGACAGCTATCTATTCTACATATCTAGTATTCAGAGGAATATGGCTGTTTCAAATTTAATAGTCTCATAATGCTCTGTATTTTTTATATCAAAAAATACATTTCAAAAATATTTACCTTTTCACATTCCTAGTCTTTGACTTTTGCTTCCAAACACAAAGATCAAGAAAATAAATAAAAGGATCATCAAACCATGCATTTATCTTATCGAATTAAAGATAGAGCTTTACCTTTTCTCATCACATCATGCATATTGCAAGTGACATTTAAAATTCTATAATGGTGTAGGCAGGTATGGAACAAAGCTATTTTTACATTTCAAGGAGACAGCTTTGCCAAACAGTAACAAAAGGCGCTGTACATTATGAAGAGAATACTAAAGTTGTATTAAACACTGATTTAAAAATATATCCAATTTACTTTTGTGAAACTAATGTACAATTTCAATAACAACTCTCCTCCCATGAACAAATTAATGAGGCCCAATTCTTTCTGCAGTGATGCAGCGGAACAGGATAGATGCTTAAGCAAAATTCATGAATAAAAGATCAAGTTCTTGAGACCTCAATTTATCTTTTACTTAATTCCAGAATTCCTGATCTATGACATTCATCCCAAAGTATACAGAAATATATCAGACAATATTTTTTATTCTAAAATAAGTAATAGGTTTAGTTGGTCTTAAAGAAACTTACCACATAGTTCTTCTGTGTCAAGATTGCTGAAAAGATGAAGAAAAAAGTATTATTACTATGGCAATATTTTCAATTCAATTTTTTATAGTTAAATACCATTATTCTCCAATCCATATCATTATACTAATAGATGCCATATAGTTATGGTATTTCTGCAAATTTCATGATGTTTAAATAGTCATAAGTTATTAACAATGGTTATGTCAGATTCTGTCTTTGAACAAATAATTCTTGGGATTTATGTTTCCCCGTATATCTTCTTGGTAACATAGCATGATTGTGAAGCATATAGGTGTTGGAGCCAGAATTCCTGAGTTCAAATCCTGATTCTACCACTTACCATTTATGCTAGCATGTCCCTTCTCTGCCTCAGTTCCTCAGCAACAAAATGAGGATAATAATAATGTCTACTTCATAGGGATGTCATGAGACTGAAATGAGTTAATATATATAAAGCACTTAAAAGATTAACTGGCACAAAGTAAGCTCTTAATAAATGTTAGCTATCATGATTCCTTACTTGGTAGAACTGCTAGAGCTTCCAACATTACCTAAACTAAACTCTGTGGAAAATTTGATTCACTGCTTATTTCAAATGATTTCTAAGACATAATAAAGAGCTACATGGCTCAATATTTACATGTAAACAATAGATACACCCATTAATCTTATTGAGAAAGCTGAAAAAAACACGTAGATAAAATGTTAGCATATATAATACCAGCAGAATAATGTCTTTGACCAAGGAAGTTATGGGTACAGTAATATAAGGATAGTTCAATATCAGGAAATAAATCAATATAACTTATTACATTATAACCAAAGGAAAAAAATCATCATATTAACAAATGCCAAAAAAGGACTTTAATAAAATTCAGCAGTCATTCCCAATTTTAAAAATTTAAAAGTGAAATAGGTATAGAGGTAAACCTTCTAAAAATGATAAAGAGGCTAAACAATGAAAGGCTTTATGTGATAATCTAAGAAGTTTCCACTTTTTCTTTCAGTCAATTTGGAATCACAAATAAACTTTAAGCAGGTGATTGACATGGTCAGATTTGCCCTTTAAAAAGGTCACTGACAGATGGGGTGAGAATGAACAGAAGGGGAGTGAAAAACGAAGACAAGAAAACAAGTTTCTCAAACAATATCATTAATATGACACACAAGTAAAATTTTGCTGAAGATCACTTAAAAGCAGTTGCAGCAGAACTGCTGGAAATTCAAGCCATACTCAGAAGAGGATGTGAAACGAGAAATATCACTGCTGATGTCAGATGGATCCTGGCTGAAAACAGAGAATACCAGAAAGATGATTAGCTGTGTTTTATTGACTAACTAAAGGCGTTTGACTGTGTGGATCACAACAAATTATGGATAACATTGTGAAGAACGGGAATTCCAGAACACTTAATTGTGCTCATGCAGAACCTGTACATAGAGCAAGCAGCAGTCATTCGAACCGAACATGGGGATACTGCATGTTTTAAAATCAGGAAAGATGTGCGTCAGGGTGGCATCTTTTCACCATACTTATTCAATCTGTATGCTGAGCAAATAATCAGAGAAGCTGGACTCTATGAAGAAGAATGTGGCATCAGGATTGGTGGAAGACTTATTAACAACCTGCAATATGCAGATGAAACAACCTTGTTTGCTGAAAGCAAAATGGACTTGAAGTGCTTACTGATGAAGATCAAGGACAACAGCTTCAGTATGGATTACACCTCAACATAAAGAAAACAAAAATCCTCACAACTGGACCAATAAGCAACATCATGATAAACAGAGAAAATACTGAAGTTGTCAACGACTTCATTTTACTTGGATCCACAATCAATGCCCATGGAAGCAGCAGTCATGAAATCATACATTGTATTGCATTGGGCAAATCAGCTGCAAAGGACCTCTTTAAAGAGTTAAAAGCAAAGATGTCACCTTAAAGACTAAGGCGTGCCTGGCCCAAGCCATGATACTTTCAATCGCCTCATATGCATGTGAAAGCTGGACAACGAATAAAGAAGACTGAAGAAGAATTGATGGCTTTGAATTAGGATGGTGGCGGAGAATAATGACGACACCATGGACTGCTAGAAGAATGAACAAGCCTGTCTTGGAAGAAATACAGCCAGAGTGCTCCTTGAAAGCAAGGATGGTGAGACTTAGTCTCATGTATCTTGGACATGTTATCAGGAAGCAGCAGTCACTGGAGAAGGACATCATTCTTGGTAAAGCAAAGGGTCAGGGAAAAAGAAGACCATCGACAAGATGGATTGACGCAATGAAGTCAAGCATAACAATGACTGTGAGTTGTGAGGATGGTGCAGGACCGGGCAGTGTTTCGTTCTGTTGTACATAGGGTCACTATGAGTTGGAACCGACTTGATGGCACCTAACAACAACAACATGATTATTACTATAGCGGTACATGTACATACGTTATAAACAAATAAATCTAAATGTCTATATTGGAATTGCAAGCTAAAAAGCATTTCCTAATAAGGGAGCTTGAAAAAGAACAATTTGGAGCACTAGGCAGTGCTAGGTAGGGACAGAGACAGAGAGAAAAAAGAATAGATATGAAAGGTTTTGAGGTAAAACCAACACGACTTGGAAATTTATTGGATTCAGGATCATTAGGAATTTTTAATAATATCATTTCAAACATTTTGGTTATTAAAACATGCTGCTTCAGAGCCTTAGTGTTTTCACAGAACTTCAGATTTGAAAAGGACTTCAAAGGTCATTTTGATTTTTATTTGTTTTCTTTGAAATTACTTACAGTTTCATAATGAAATTTATTTTTAATTTCCAAAAGAATGAACAGCCCTGATTCACTCTTGAAAAATAAATGCCCTGGAATATATTATAAAACATAGCAGTTCAGAATAATTAGGATGACATTAGCTCTACATATTCTTTAATAAAAGACTATATTTGTAAAACACTATTGTGTGTGGCCTTAAAGATTCCTTTATTCAGCTGCTTTTTGTTCTACGTTGTTTATAGTGGCGAGTAAAACTGTTACTTTTACAAGTTTACATGGGTGTTGTTTATAGGCTTACATGGGTGAATTCTGGTAGAATTGATTTCTTACTAAGATATATTTCTATCTTGTAGTAGCACTGAATTTTAAAGGAATATTAAGCCATAGACAAGACTAGAGTATGTCTGACAGCATGAAATATTTTCCTGTTTCCTTTCATGTTCTAGCAAGAAACCCTATAATCTTTTAGCTATGCTATCAAATTAAAAAAAAAAAAAAAGCAAAATGGAAAGAATGAATGCTAGTTACATAGTAAACATACTCTCAGTGAAATAGTCCCAGAGGGGTGTTACTACATGAATGCATTCTCAGATATCAAAGAGGGGTAAAGAACAAAGACATTTATTGCAGCCT